TAACACACACTGACATAATCTATTTTTACTTGTTAAACTTTTAAATTTTTGATTTTTTATGTTTCAATTGGCTCTTTTTTATAGTTCTTTTATATAATTAAATTTTTTTTTTTACTTTTATTTTTGAATTTGTAATTGATTATGAATTGAATTTTATAATTTATTTAGAAAAGATGTTTTGAATATAATAATTTATGTTATTAATTTAAAAAATTAATATAGATTGATATTTTTTAAAATAAGTTTTATATTTTATTTTATTTGTTTACATCAAATTATTACAATTTATAATATAGACTAAAAATTTAACGGGATTTTTCAAGTTGGTTTTATCCTAATTATCGAGAATACATGTACGCATGCTAATGCGGCACGGAGGGGCTCCGATAAACCTAAAAATGCAGTCTCACGTGCCAAATGACCACCCCTGTCCTCAGGCCCTCCCTCGATAAAAATAGCATCGCACAGCATGCCAATCAAAACAACACGGCTTTGTTTTGACCGATGGATGGCACGGACTCCCTATTCTACTATTATCCTCTGCCCAAAAAGAAGCCCCCGGTTTCTCCCTCTCCCTGCCCAGCTGACCATCAAACCCCAACCACCATCACTAACGCCAACACCGACACAACTACAACCAAAACCACCATATCAACCACCAATAACGCCACCATCGTCAACAACAACAAAAAAAACTCACTTCCCTTTTACAAACCAATAGAAATTACAGAGAGAGATTTTCTCTTCAATTACAACCCTTTTCACAAACACAAGGCTGCCCCCACATCTTCCTCTCTCGATTCACCCCCCACCAATACCAAAATCACCAAGAAAATGGACTCACACGTGCTTCTTGAAGCCTTCACTTGCAGGGATACACTAATTATGATCTTACGAAAGCTTGGAGCTCGAGACTTGGCACGTGCAAGCTGTGTTTGCAAGCTGTGGAGAGATATGGCTTCTGGTGATGAGATTGTGAGGCCTGCTTTTATGGAACCTTGGAAGCTGAAGGATATAGTGGGGAAGCCCGTGTCTGGAAGTTTTTGGAGAGATAGTGGGATTTGGAAGTTTGCTATTTCACATAAGATTGTTAAAGGGGACACTATTGCTAGTCTTGCTGTTAAGTATTCTGTTCAGGTAAACAACAAAGTTGGAAACTTTTTGGTTCTTGGTTAATGTTTTTCTTGTTATATGTTTGTTTTTGTTTGTAGATTTGGAAGTAAAGAAAGGTTGGTTGTTGGTATGTGGGTATCTTGGGATATGCCTTTTTTGTTTGTAGATTTCGATAAAGTAGATATTTTGGTTTCTGGCATGGTTGTGATACGATTCTCTTCTTTGTAGAATTGGAAAAGGTTTTTTTTTTTTTTTGGTGTATGGGAAATGAGGTTTTTGTGATATGATTGCTTTTTTGTTAGTTTTTAGTGTGGTCAGGTAATTGAGAAATGGGATTGGAAAGTTTTGGCTGTTGCCCTTTGCCTTTACTCGTTTTCATTTGGTTGATTGAAAGGGGAGAATTGTGGGGTTTTAATAGATATGAAGTCTAGGGAGCTTGTTACACACACACACATGTTAGTAATTTGGTATTAGGGGTTTTGGATGAGTTAGCTGGTGATAGCATTGTTTTGGGTTTTGTTTCCGAGATTTTGATACGTAACTTAAAAGAAATTTTAAGGGATAGATGATGGTGATATTTAGGTGGATTTATGGGGAATTAGCATGGATGGTAGATGAAGTTGGGCAAATCATAATCAGCAAACTTGTGTTTTAGGGGTTGGTTTCTGTAGATCAATACAATAAGAAGTTAAAAGATAACGGGCTCACTAAAAGGGGAGTTAGATAGGCATCCTTGATTGCCATTTTTTGAAAATTAATTGATGTTTTGCAAAGAGTTGGAGAGTTATATATGTTAATCATCATAGTAGTCAAAGCAATTGGTACCATGAAAGTTGCTATCACAGTATGTCCTCCGTTTTGCATGTGATTGGTTTTGCTATCGAAGAATTTACTCTTTGCAATGAGATTTGTTTCGAGAGCAGTATTTATATATTATCAAAATGATTAACATGTAAAGGGATGAGAGTTGGAACTGGTTATTGGTTTCCTAGAGCAGAATATTTTTTATTAAGAGGATATGTAAAGGGATGATTTTTTCCTGATTAGGATGCGAGGATTTGCAGCTTATATTTTATTGGGTCGCGAGACTATCTGTATTAGAATGAAAGTAAGAGTTCAAGAGGTTGATCTGCGTATCAACCAAGTAAATTACAAATTCTACGTAGAAGCAATGAACAGAACATGTCATTTACAAAGGCACAAGGGGTAACAAGCTCAGTGATACCACTTATTTGATGAACCTGGCCATTCTACTGCTCACACCTTTCTTGTTTTGTTGGTAATGGTGCTGGTGGCTTACTCATGGCTTAATGGTTGAGTGGTTGCCAGTGAGTAAACAGGATAAGAAGGATTAGGGTTGATACTGATTTTACATAAAGGCCATGCCATCTCACTTGGTTAAAGCAGATTTAAGCCCATCTTTTGATTATGGTAAGCAGCGATAACAGTGAAACCTTTGTATCAACTGAAAGATAAATTATAACTTGCAATGAAAATCTCATGTAATGCCCACTAGAAGTTTGTACTGCATCATATTGGTTATGTTCATCTTTCTAGACAGACGATTAGTAAATTATCCTGTAAAAAGGTTCAAGCTGGACTAAATCCAGTGCATCACTGCATTCTATTGCCCTTAATGAGTCTGAGTTGCTATGTTTTTTCTACACTAAAATGCCAGCTTTGCAAAATACCATTTCTTTTATTTGTTTCTTGGTTGAACTATGTGATATGAGCTTCAGATATTTTCTTTGTTGACACAGGTCATGGATATAAAACGGATAAATAACATGACAAGTGACCATGGCATATATTCACGGGAGAGGTTGTTGATCCCCATAATCAATCCAAACCTTCTCATAAATGAGACCTGCTACATAGAGTTGGACACCTATGCGAAAAGAGAAGTGGCAGTATTATATCCAGAAGGCAAGCCTGATGAAAAGCTAATGTCAAAGGGATCATCCTCTGACCATGGCAAAAGAAGGGTTATCGATTCCTTAAAGAGAAGCATGCAAGTTGATGATGGAACTGCTCAATACTACTGGTCTATTTCAAATGGTGACCCTCGAGCTGCACTCACAGAATTTTCAGCAGACCTTAGGTGGGAGAGGGATGCAGGGCTGGGCTAACTGGAAATATGAAACACGCAGTGCACCTAGTAAGTACTGCTCTGGATCAAATTCCTTCCATATATGGTTTGGGATTTTCCATAACCTGTGTAATGTAAACGAACTCCAAGTTGTTACCATCATTTTCATCTTTCCCTGGGATATTTGCTCTTCAATTCAATCAGATGACGATGTTAAAGCTTCTGTTGTGCCTATGCTGTAGCCAACTTCCACAGTTTTGGCTTCCCTTTTCTCAACTGTGTAATGATCCCTCGAGCTTCATATGCTCGGATCCTACAATCGAGTTTGTAATGTTGGATCTCCACCTGCCTAATGCTGGTCTTGTATGGATATATATTCTCATGACATGAGAAATGAATTTGTCAAAATTTATATGCGAGATGTCGAAGGAGTTCATAGTCATATCTTTTGAAGTGCTGCCTTACTGTGAAACTGTAGTATTGTCAGAAACACCAATGAGTCAAAAACCATCATCAATTTCATTTGTAAGGATGGTTTTCTTTGTTTGTCCATGTAAAATACCTTGTTTTGCCAAAGTATTACTACGTCTTTTGGATTGTATTCAACACTGTTGTTTTATTATCATTTAACAACTCTTTCTATCATGGTTATACAATCTAATCAGGAGGTGACTAGGGTTGCATGTTTGCAGAACAAGCAGGTTCATTCAAGTTATGATTTTTTATTTTTTTTTTAAATCTACGAAACGATGTAAATATTAGGCTTTAAACCCCTTTGTCTCTCATCTTGACAAGTATGGTTTTTAAATCATTTTTGATGTTTTTTTCGAAGGACTTCAAATGGAGTCCCAAGGTAAACAAGTTACGAGGTTGACCTGTCGGACTGCACAAGGCTTAATAGTTCTTGAATCATTTTATGATGTTATTTTCGAAAGAGTTCAATATGATGTTTTGTATAGTTGAAAAAATAATAAAATTCAAAAGATATTTGCTGTTGTTGATTGACCACGACGAACGTTGAGGCACGAAAGATACAAGGTGATATTTTGATGGAAGGTCTTTGATAAACACAAGCTCGTCTAGATTTGTAACCTTGAGAATTACCAGTAGTTCAGGATTACTAATTCAATTAAATATATTCAGTTTCCCAAGTCCAATCATTTGTTGTTTTTTTAAAATACTTGAATTCAACTTTTTAAAACAAGACCCCTGGAATTTCTTAGATATTTTCTAGAAGTAATAGTCTTCTCTCAAGTTTAGTGTTTCACCGAGTAATTGAAAGACACTATAGGCAATGGCGCCCTGACAAACCTAGTGTGCCCCTTATGTTTCCTTCTATCGTGTTTTGTATGCTAGTGACAGGTATAAAATTTTCTGCCACCACAGTTAAAATGACCACATGAAAAGAGAAATATATGCTGTTGAATAAGTAAAGATAAGCCTCTGGGAGCTGGCTCAGACGCTCAAGTGTTCTTGGATGAGGAAGGGCCTGATGCAGAAGAGGATTTGGACAATGTCAGCTCTTTTTCATGCCGTTCCTTAAGAAAGCTCTGGGCAGTCTCCGTCACAATCTTGAAGAAGAAGCTGATGAGCATGAGCCATATGACAGTGTTCCATATTGAAGCAAATGAGAAGTCCCATTTCTTCACCTAAGAAATTAAAAGAAAGTACCTTAGTGCACATTAGAACAAGCACACATCAAGGGAATCCTGGAGGTGCATAAAATACGTATCTAAGCATTGCATCTCGAAACACCTCTAGGTAAAGAGCATTTTCAGACTATATGTTCACATGCAACTCTTTGAGCATGTATCTATAGATACACGGGCACATGTGCAGTCTCAAACACATGGTGAATTAAGGTATTTCATGATTACATGTGCAAGCAAGCTTCTGCAATCGAGAATATATAAATATACATTCATAACAATGATTTGAAATTTTTGAAACCAAGGAATAGAATCAGAATCCATTCTTTGATAAATGATACCAATGCCAAAAGCACAACGGCAGCCAATGTAGGCACATGTGTGTTCTGATTCTATAGTTCAGTCATATTACCTCAACGTTTGAGACTGGAGGTGTTGGTGCCATATACTTGCTTCTAATAATTTGTAGTTTTGCAATAAGTTTTGGCAGGACCGTGGCAAGTCCAGGAACAAAGCTGAGCAATCGAATCAGCTCATTTTCTATTAAGTCAAGGAGTTGATGGTTGCATACTGAGATGATGAAAGCTGTCTGCAATATAATAAAGACAACATAACCAATGTCAACCAATGATCAATATAAATTGAACCAAAAAAAATTTCACAAAAAATTGAGAACCTGCAGCAACCAATTGGAGATGGTACAGTGTGTTTGCAAAAGTAACATGTGCATCATATCATGTAGCAGGAGAAAATAGAGCTTTGCAAACCTGAATGTGTGTTTTGATGATTGCCTTTCCTATCAATGTTGCGAGGAAGAACTTCCAAAATGGAACTCCAAATTGCCCACACATGATACCAGCAAGGTCAAAAAGAGGATTTGGCACCTGCAGTAAACCATTTAGTTGCAAATTGCAAATTCAACTAGAGTGTTGATGGTGCTAACCATAAGATCGTTGATCAAAAAAGAATTTTTCATGAAAAAAATATAACCAGAATTTGACATTTGCGTTTGAGAAAGAATAGGGAATGCAGGTATGAAAAGTTGCAACAGCCAGCATGGGACCGATATAGACAAGAAAAAACAAAAGATAGTTACTGCATTTATGCAAGTAGATAATTCTGCCATACTTCCTAACTTCCTCTACAATGACAAAGAAAATTACTTGATGAGTTAAGTCAGGCAGAATAACTGCAGTTGCAAATCTTGTGCTAGAAAAGGAAATCGTTATTATGATTCACAAGGTCTCATCACAAAAAAGAAAGAGAGAAAAAAAATTACCGAAGCAAGGACTAAAATTGAGAAGAAGTTCAGATACTGTGAATGTGAAAGGAGCCAGTTTTTAATCTGATTTATGTGAGTGGCCATGACTGTGTTATGATCTTCTGGTGAAAAAGACTCAAATTCTTTCATGACTTCCCGCTTGCTACCTGAGATGCTAGCTGCACACACATTTCAAGATAAAACTAAATTAATTAGAATCACATAGCAGTGAAATGAGTAATACTGCTATCTTGCAGCAACAAAAAAATGACAAAGCAATTCATGTCAAGCAATTCAGACGACAGAAAAATGCTGTCAGGGACTGAATTCCCTTCATCTGCAGTACTAAGAGACCCACAGGAAGAGACTAATTCAATGGTGACCATTAATATACAAATTCAATGGACTCACGTGATGAAACACCTTAGGTCCAAAGCCACCCCAACAATTACCAACCAATCAAAATCAACTTCTCAATGAGCTATAATTTTCCCAAATCATTCTTTTAATAATGTTATGTGCACAACCTCTCAACACAAAGGCATACTTGTTTATAAAATCGCTCATAAATCTTAAATTCACACAGCAACAGATATCACTGCACATGAATCCAAGTCAAATCTATCAATTTGGGCACTTAAAGCAAGCAAGAAGAAAAGACCTATCCACTTCAATATTTGTAATAACTTAAACTTCAATAGTTGTAATAACTTAAGCATTATCATAGTGGTAGGAAATAAAGAGCAAAGAATCCCCAAGCAAATTTAATATGTTTCCACAAAGTATCCTTGGAACAATCCAAGCGGCACTAGAAATCCACAAGCACAAATTTGGTTTATAGTCTGTAAAGAAAATTAGAGCATCAAGGATATGTGTGTGTGTATGTGTACAAAACACACACACACATGTGCAAAGGCCTTTCCAGGAAAATGGTTGTCCAAGACATTAACATAAAGACATGATTCAGAATAGTCACCAGCTCTTGATATGAAATATGGAGGAAGCTCCCCAAGTGCAGTTCCAATCCCCCACAAAACAGCCTCAAGTTGAATCTGGGGCAAAATGCTGGTCAGTGGAATTCTCGAGCCTTCTAATGATGAATACATTGGAGGTCCAAATGCAGTGCAGTTTCTGTCCAGCCATGAAGGACCACTGTATAGTTGAATCGTATCATATACTGCACTTTTTATATCAACTCGACCACATTGTACAGCTTTAATTGTAAATAGAGCAACATGCGGGCCTAAATACAAAACAAATGTATGCAGACCAGATCCTGCAGAGAAGAAAAGGTTCAAAATTTCGAAAACTTTCCATGTAAAATCACTTGAACAAGATCAAATGAATCAGGACCATATTAGAAAACGAGACAAGAATCCATTCTTAGGGAGCGTTTGTTTGCTTAATCTGAAATAGAACTGAGATTACTGAAGATGTCTAAAAGCTTCTTTATGGTACATGCTACTTAAGTAGCTTAAATATAGCACATAGATGAGTCTGAACTCCGAAGCTCATATCTTTGAAACTTCATGTATATTATCTTTAGCTGATGATCATTAGTCTGTACCAACCTAAGGTTTTCTTTTCAAGTATAAAAGTCAAACTTCAATGAATTTAGTGTCAGATTCCAATCTTGATTTACTATTTTTCCATGCAACATTTTTGTAATCTGTAAAACTATGGCAGCAAGTTCCTTTCCATGTGTTACAAGTTCACAAAAAATTGTAAGCATGAATTGAAATGCTCAACAGAAATTTGAGATAAACGTTCATTCAAAAGTATGAAATATAATCCATGCAAATCATCTGGAAAATTCATCGAAGAAACAGCAAATAAGATAGAAAACATGAGCAATTCTTTTACCTAGACCAATTGATGATGCTACACCAAGTGCCAACCACCAGAGTCCAAATCGAAGATAATTAACAACTTCTTGGACATGCTGCAGTATCATCAAGGACTTGAAATCAGATACACAGCCTTTTAGTTTCAACTTGAAAAAAAAAAAATGGAAGTATTTTACGAATGGGGAAATAAGCTTAAATCTGCAAGTAACAAAATCCACAATAAAAACCCACCAACCAAATAATACTTTCTAGCAACATCAACAATCCATTTTAACATTTTCAGCAAACTTATCACCGCTACTTTTTTTTTTCTTCAAAAGAATACACGTATGGGTATCAATTACTCAATAAAAATCACAAAAATCTACAAAAAAGAAGAAGAAGTAAGGCAATAATACGTTACATCTTGATAAGGGCTACCAGTGGTGATGACAAGAATCCCAATACTTCCTATAAAGGCACTTATCAGAAGCAAAAGCCAACCACTTTTTGCAAACAATCTCTGGAGACATTGAACTATAGCCAATACAAAATATGTCAGGGTCTTTATAGGCTGTGTTGCTAGTGTTAGATTCTCTAATTCCTTTCTTTGTTTCTCTCTGATTCCTGCAAAACATAAACAGTTTTAAAAATAGACCTTTAACTCACAATGTAACAAAATAAAATAAAATAAAATAAAAGGTCAAAAGCCCTTTATAAGTTTCTTGATTCCCTAAACCTTACGTTAACATAAAATCCTTTAATTCAATTATGAAAATATAAAAAAAAATTCTGAAAACCCATTTTTAAGTTTCTTAATTTCCATCAATTATTGCATTAAGCTCACTCCAAAAAACCACACAAAAAAAAAGAGTCAGTTCTCAAAAACCCAGAAATAAATACTAACACAGAAATGTAGTTTTTCTCTTTTCCTCCTCATTCCCATTAATTTTCTAGTGAATCTACCAAGCAGATATTTACTACGAAAAAAGTAACAGTCTTTACTTACTAGAAATTGACAAGTCGTTGATGTACTGTTGCTGTGTTTCTGGGGTCTCCATTGCTTGAAGAAGAGAAGAGAATATCAGTCAAATGCTCTATCTTTCTTTCTCTTTCACCCTCTCTAAACCAGAACAAAAAATTCGATACCCTTTAAATTCAACGTGCTGTCGTTCTGAGTGTATAAAGACAGAGAAAGAAAGAGCGCCTAGAGAAGCAAAAAAATGGACTGTATTGGTAAAGGAACCAGCCAATGGAATTTTTTAAAGAAGAACGCAATGTCCACGTGAAAGATACAGCGACAAAGACAGGACAGAGAATGGAGAACCAGGAAGGACCCCAAAAAATATATTGGATTAATAAGATATAGACATAAAAATAAATATGTTTCCAATGTTTAGAGTAAATTTGAGATAATATTTATTATTTATTATTTTTTAATAGTATTGTAAAAAAAAACTATTAATTTTAAAAATTTTAAAGTATTGTAAAAAAACTATTAATTTTAAAAATTTTAAATTAAAATAAAAAATATTATTATAATTTTAAATAATTCACAAATCAATTTAAAACTATATTCAGGTCATGATTAAAAAAATCAACTTAAATTGATATAAATTAATATAATAATAAAAATATTTATTATTATAATTTTAAAATACAATTTGAAAGTTAACTTGAAATTTTAATTGGGTTATGTTGTGTTTATCATTTTTTTATTTTTTTTATTTTTAAATCTTGATTGGTATAAATCTTAGATCAACTTATTATATGAATTTAGGTTTTATAACTAAAGCTATTATAGTATTATTAATTTTAACATTTGATATAAAATTAAAGTAAATAAACTAAAATTTAATTATATTTTTAAAATATATAAGTTTGATAATAATACATAATAATAATAAAATAATTTTTTTCATGTCTTGTTTTTCATAACCAAACATGATATAACATTACCAAATTTAATTTTATTTTTTTTAACTAAAAATTTGATAAAATTAAAAATTAATATTTAATTTAATTTAACTAGAAACACAACCAAGTTTAATAACTAGACTCTAATATAAATTTTAAGTTTTATTTTTAAATAATGATGATATATTAAGAATAATTTAAATAATTCTCTTAAATCCTAACCATAAAACTAAATTCAAAAAATCAAAGAAAAAAAAGAAGTAATGTGACTAATCTCTTGATGCACAAGTCACTCTTTTTTTTAGTAGTGAAAGCAGCAATCAGCCCTCACTCTCGCATTCTTGCATTAAAAAAAAAATCTAGATTTAAAAAAACAAAGAAGAAGAAGAAGAAGAAAGATCGGAACTTACACTCAAACGTTCTAGCATGGTAGTAAGAAAGAAAGAGAGAGGCAAACTCCCTTGTTACATCAGCTCTCTCTCGCCCCTCTCTCACGCAATCTTGCATTCTTCACTATTCTTGCGTGCGGCCAATTCTGACACTCTTTTCACAAGGTGTCGTTACTACTACATCTTGGATTCTCTTTCATGTTCTAAATCTATTTTTTTTTTCGGGGAACCCATCAAACTGTGAACATTTTCTTACACATTTATGCAAAGTTAGACCCAAAATAGACGTATTTTTGTGTTGAAGACTTTGGTTTTGATTGGGTTTTTGATTTAAATGGGAGCTGGTAGGCTATTACCCTCCTTGTCTCTGCTAAATTTGGTTTAGCTTTAGTTTTCTTTTCTTTTCAAATCTAGCAAATTCAAACAGGAAAAGGGTCTTTTTGCTGTCAAGTAAAAGTTTGAGGAGATTCGAGTAGTACTTTATGTTATCCAGAATTGCTTTAATTTTGTTTATTTTTAATCAACTGGGACAGATAGAAATTATAGGATTTTGTCAAACGTAGAGGATGTGACTGGAATGTGAAAAAAGGAATGATTTTTTTTTTGGGTGAAGAAGAGAGCAAGAAGATCTGTGGATATTGATGCTAATGATTCTCTTGCACTGATTTATTGGTTTAGAGCGGCAATTTAAGTTGCTGGGACTGGATTTAATTTGTTGGTTGCAATCGTATAACAATGAAGGGGAAGTTTTGAGGTATTAAGAGTGATTGGCAAAATTTCTGGTTGGCAATTTATGTGAATGGAGAAGATTGTGTAAGGATTTTGTTGCAAGGAAAGGGAGATAGTGAGTTAAATCCGTCGGATTTTTGCAGGTTAGGTTTTTTTTTTTTTAATAACCATGTCTCGACTAATTTCGAGATTCTGAAGTTAAAAATTATGTAAGTTTTTAGTGGTTTTGAGGTTTGTAATATTTGAATTGACTTCGAGAGCAAATTTAGTATTTAACCAATTAAGTTATACTCTTTAGGGTTTGCAGTTTTGTTTCTTTTGTTTCTTTAATGTGAGTGTTCGGCTAGCTTGCGCAAACCTTAATTAATCTTATGAACTTTAAAATTAATAATTATATAAACCTTTAGTGATTTGAGGGGACTCGTTGCAGTTTTGTTTCTTAATATGCTTATAAGTGGTCTTTATTCACACATCACAGGGCATGCATGCAAGCTTTCTTTCGTGGAATGTAAACTTAACATTTTCCCTCTCTAAACTTCTACTGATCTGCATATTCATTTATTAACATTATCAGCATCAGCATCAGCATCAAAACCGAAGATATATTACTATGTTTCTGATTTTTTTTTCTGTTTATGTGTGTGTGTTCTTCCTCTTTGAGGTCTATGCTATCTGAAATCTGGTGGTTTTAGGATACCCACTCGAACCTAGATGTATTTTGTTACACATGGATGAACACTTGGACACAAAGACACTTGCTTTGAGATGGTTTTTTTTTTATTTTTTATTTTTTTATATGTAATGGCTTTTTATGCAAGGAGCTAGGAGATTGTTGGAACATTGTGTCGTCTAAAGTTTGTTTGAAGTTTTAGTCTTTAGCTATGTAGAATAGTTGTTTCTCTTTGCAGAAAGTCTTTTTGCAGGCAAGGAAAGTTTGAAGAGAGGTAATATTTTTCAGGGGCTAAGAAGTACTTTATGTTACTAGAATTTCCTTATTTTGGGTTATTTTTTATATTGAACTTCGGGGATGTGATAAAATTAGAGGAAGGAGTTTGGAAAGTGTGGAAAATGTGATTGAGAAAAGGAATGGGTTTGTTGTGAAGGAAGAGAGTAAGAAAATTTGCAACATATGGATACAAATTTCGTAGAAGAGTTTCTTTGCATTGGTTTAATAGTTTAGGCCTTATGGTGGCAATTAAGTTGCAGGTATATGATTTTGGTGGTCGCAATCATATTTCAGAGAATGAGAAGTTTCTGGACACAATGAGGGTGGCAAACAGTTCTGGTTGGTTGTGCTTCTGAAGGAAGAAAACATTATGTGGCAAGGATGGGAAGATCATGGGCAAGATTTTGTTAGCAGTTTTGTTTCTCTATGTTCTTTAAAGTGATGTTTATTCAGGCTTCACATAATTAACATACTATGAAGATTATGCTAGGGCTTAGTAGGGCATGCTCCAAGCTTTCTTTATTAGAAATCTAAACTCAAAGTTCTCTGGATTTCATTGAGAACTTGGCAGCTAATGGTGACAGGAGAACTACGGAGGAAGAGGAGGAAAATAAGAATGTATCAAAGAAGCAAAAGCTGGATAAATCTGTGGAGGAGGAGCACTTTGTGAGGGCTAAGAAGATGAAAAAACAGGAGGGGGTGGGTCCTGTTAGGTTGGGTCCAAAGACTTTTGTTTCAGCAGTGGAGATGTTCGATTTTTTCTACAATTTCCTTCATTTTTGGCCTCCCAATCTTAATGTCAACAAGTTTGAGCACATGGCTCTAGTGGAGTTGCTTATGCAGGATCATTTGGAGCCTGAAAAAAAGATTGGTTGTGGGATCCAAGCTTTCCAAGTCTGTTTTCGTCCAATGTGGAAGACACAGTGTGTCTTCCTCATTTGGGATGATGAGTTTGTTGATGATTTCAGCTTCTGAAAGTGCACGGATAATATTCTTCCCCTGCCTGAGGACATGAGAATAAAATCTGATGCCAGCCTATCTTCAGGTGGTGGTAAGAGTTGCAAAAGGAAAGGTGGTGGTGTGAGAATAGGTGAACACAACCATGGAAGAGGTGGTAAATCAAGAAACTGAATCATTGCTTTGATTTACCTGGGTGAGAGGTTTCATAACAGCAAAATGAGGGTTGCTTGTCTTCAACTTTCCATTGTCTGCACGTTGATGTGATTATATAAACAGATTCCATATGGCATTTAGTAGCCTCAGTTTGTTACTCATGAGAGATTAACAAGTTTAAAGCTGGACCATCTTTTGTATGTCGATAAACTCTTTTGATTTACTCAAGTAAGGAATTTCAACTGAATTTCATCCAGGTATTGCAAATTGCTCAGCTCTGTGTGCGCGTGCTTCTGTGCCTCTAGCTCCTTAGCTCTTTCCCATTCTAAATGAAAATAATGATGCATGCAGTCTCGTGTGTTTTACCATGTGAATAAACATGACATGATGGCTTTTGTGAATTTTAACTTGCTCCTATGCATACTCTGGTCCTTTATTGTCATGTTGATCTTATTCAATGTGAATCATTGCCATTTAACTCCCAACACACATACATATGCATGCATACATGTTCTTCAGACCTTTTGAGTTGGTCCTATTGTAATGATCTAGTTATGTGATTCACATGATTACTTGCTAAAGTTAACCTTTGTCCATGTTTCACTGATTGCCTCAAGCTAATGTGTTATTCAGATATTGCACAGTTTGTAATTATTGTACATCTTGGATGGATTTATATTTATGAACGTGATGTGAATTTTCCAACTTTGGAATGGGAAATCTCCAACTAGTCTATGCTCAGCTTCTGCTGCGTCATCTGAGTGCTTCTTTACTGTGAGGCTTTGCATAATCGTCTGAGTGCTTCTGTACTGTGAGGCTTTGCATAATCGTAAGCATGTTATCGAGAATGAGGTGCACTAATGCTTGTTTCCCACTGTCATTCAGATATCATGGATCCTCAATTGCCAATGGAAAAGGTATCTTTTGGCCCAAATTCTACTGAGGAAAATAACAAGATAAATGTAGTTCTAGTGGCAACTGGCAGTTTCAATCCTCCAACTTTTATGCACCTGCGATTGTTTGAGCTGGCAAGGGATACATTGCAATCAGAGGGATACCATGTCATTGCTGCCTACATGTCCCCTGTCAATGATGCATACAAGAAAGCAGGCCTCATTTCTGGGGAACATAGGTTGCAGATGTGCAGCTTAGCCTGTGA